ACTTCCTTCTCCACTCTGCTCAGAACACTGTGGCATGAATGACCTCACTAGTGTGGACCAATTTCAGAAAGATATCAAGAAAAGAAAGAACTCTCTTGGAAATAAACCCAAGAGAATGAGAATTTACAGGCTTGCGACAAATATTCTTAATTATTTAAAGGGTTCTGATAGGAAAGAAGAATTATGTTTCTTGTGGGCAGAGGCAGATTCACCAAGAAGATAATTAGGTTTAAGCTTTACGTAGGTCTCTTGACTTGTGCGGGCCCCTTCCAGGAACCTCTACCTAATTTCGAATTATTAAATATGTGTTATTTCACTTAAAGGGCCCTCTCCCGGTTGTATGGTTTTCAGAAGCCACACCATTGGATCTACCTTTTTCTGCATGGCTCCAAAGGGCAAACCAGGAGCTAAGATAGAAATGGAAGTCTAGGGGCGCCTGGGTGGCTCAGTCGGTTGGGTGTCTGACTTCAGCTCATGATCACACAGCGTGTGGGTTCCAGCCCCGTGTCGGGCTCTGTGCTGACAGCTCAGAGCCTGGAGCTTGCTTTGGATTATGTCTTCCTCTCTCTCTACCCCTCTCCCACTCATGCTCTCTCTCTCTCTCTGTTTCTCAATAATAAGTAAATGTTAAAAAAAAAAAAAAAGAAATGGAAATCTAGAGTGAGGATGTTCTATTAAAACTGCCAGTTATTTCACTAGCAAAAATTTGGGAATAGTAGAGAACTGCAATTTGGGACAAGTTAAGCAAAAGCGTAGGCACATCTAGGAAACAAAAATCCAGAAAACCAAAACGGAAGGGATTCTCTTTTACAGAGGAAAGTGGGAAGTTGAGAGGGCTATTATAGACAAGCTCCTTGGAGTAAACTGGAGTTCCGAGTATAGGGGCTTTTCTTTGGCTCAGTTGTGACCGTCTCTCACAGGCTGGGGGGAGAAAAACCTACTTCCTCCCGGGATGGTAAAGTAGCCGCTGAAGCAGCGTGCACTTGGAAGGTCCGACTTTCCCAGTTGAGTCTGAGTAGTGCGGCGTGAGAGCGCCCCCTTCTGGCCTCCCCGCTCCATTCTAAACCACGTTTCCTTTTGTTCAATCTCGTATCTCAATGAAGGAAAATCTTTCCACGGGCCACAACTATTTCACCAAAAAGCGGGTTACTGTGGTAGGCACCCTCTATAGCCCACCCAGAGTCATTCTTCCTTCCAACACCCCCCTTATCCAGCTAATAAAACCTGGATTTGTTCTGGGGTGCCTGGGTAAGCATCAGACTCTTGATCTCAGCTCAGGTCTTGATCTCAGTGTCCTGAGTTCAAGCCCCATGACACGCTTTGTGCTTTCACAGCGTGGAGTCGGCTTGGGATTCTCTCTCTCTCTCTCTCTCTCTCTCTCTCCCTGCCCCTCTCCAGGTCTTTCTTTCTTTCTTTCTTTCTTTCTTTCTTTCTTTCTTTCTTTCTTTCTTTCTTTCTTTCTTTCTTTCTTTCTTTCTCTGCCTCTCTCTCAAAATACATACATACATACATACATATTAAAAACAGAAACAGATACTTGGATTTGTTCAAGAAGTTAATGGAGAGGGGCGCCTGGGTGGCTCAGCCGGTTAAGCAACCGACTTCGGCTCAGGTCATGATTTCAGGTTCGTGGGTTCGAGCCCTGCATCAGGCTCAGTGCTGACAGCTAGCTCAGAGCCTGGAGCCTGCTTCAGATTCTGTATCTCTCTCTCTCTCTCTGACCCTCCCCTGCTCACGCTGTCTCTCTCTCTTTCTCTCTCTCAAAAATAAATAAAACATTAAAAAAAGAGAGAAGTTACTGGAGAGTCCAGAACTGAGAGCAGACCCTCCCCCCAACCCCAAGAGTGAACTGTGATTGGTGTAAGCGAGTCATGATGTTCTCACACCCTATGGTCAGTAAATAGTCTAAGGACCAGGAAGTAGTCCAAGTCTGGGCAGGTAAAGGTAACCCAGGTCTGACTAATGAAACACCCTTGTGTCCTGGGGGGGAACTTCACGCTCTAAATTAAAAGACAGAGCTTTAGGAAGTTCTTTCCCCCTTTCCCTTTCATTCCTGAAACTCGCAAGAGCTGGCATACTGCAGCTCTTCTGTGGCCAGTAGGCTAGAAACATGAAAACCAGACTCAACATACTAAGGACGGCAGCACAGAAAGAGTGTTTAGGATCCTTCTAGCTCTGCTGAGGACCTGAACCCATACTAGACAGCCACCCGACTCTAGATTACTTAAGTGAAGACATAAACTCCTTATGGAAGTACAGTTCATTGTATTCTCTATTATGTGGGGCCAAATGCATTTTTCCTTAATTCGGCTCTGTTCAAGAAGAGAGACTTCTCTGTCTCTGGTGGGAACCAATTACAGGACCAATTTGCCTCAAAATAGTGGTGTTGCAGAGGGTATTTTTGTCTCACGGGAGAGGATTCAGGGAGGAGACAAACTGTTATTAGGAATAATCTTATGTGATTATTGCATGAACAACTTCCCATGACTTAAGTCCTTAAGTTCCATTCTTCTTCCCCAGATCTTCATATTTCCATCAGCCTTTAGCCTTCCGGGGTGCCTGGGTGGCTCAGTCGGTTAAGCTCCGACTTCGGCTCAGGTCATGATCTCACAGTTCATGGGTTCCAGCCACGCATCAGGCTCTGTGCTGACAGCTCAGAGCCTGGAGCCTGTCTTCGGATTCTGTGTCTCCCTCTCTCTCTGACCCTCCCCCGCTCATGCTGTCTTTCTCTCAAAAAAAATAAATAAAACATTTTTAAAAATTAAGACTTTAGCCTTCAAATGAGAAATCAGTCCCCCAGCTGAAGGCTTTCCAAGAGGTACATAGCCGAGAGAGAATTTTTTTAGAAAACTTTTTATTAAGGAAAAAATTTAAACCTGTCGGTCCTACAGAGTACTTTCATGTACCTATCTACCCAACTTCAATGGCCCTTTCTCGTGTCACCTATACATCCACCTGTCCCTCCCTCTGTGTCTAATCATCACCAGTGCTTTTGTATGGACATAAAGATGCAAAGATGATCCTCAACAAACCTTCCCATCCCTGTACTTCCACACTACTTCTCCCATGAGAGAAGATGAAAATGTCCTACACTTAGGTTGCAGTGGTATTTTTGTTTTTTACAAATAGTTTATTGTCAAGTGGATTGCAGTGGAATTTGCACAGCTTTGTGAATAAATTAAAAGTCACTGAAGTGTACACTTTAAATGGGTGAATTGTATCATATGTGACATATCTCAATGGAGCTATTTTTATTTTTATATTTAAAAAAAAATTTTTTTTAATGTTCATTTATTTACTTTTGAGAGAGAGAGCCCAAGTAGGGGAACTACGGAGAGAGGGAGACACATCATCTGAAGTAGGCTCCAGGCTCTGAGCTGTCAGCACAGAGTCTGGTGCCCGGCTCGAACTTACCAATCGGGAGATCATGACCTGAGCCGAAGTCAGACGCTTAACCAACCGAGCCACCAAGACGCCCCAATGGAGCTATTTTTAAAAAGTAGAGAAAGAACATTTAACGTGGCATCTTATTCCCATCCTAGTTGAAAATGATCTGGCCTTTTGACTTGCTTTGACCATAATAGGGAAGAGAAGTGACACTGTGTGACTTCTGGGCATTTCCCTTAATGGGCTTTGGGGCCTGAGCCACCCCATCGAAGGTACTAGAGGAAGAGCCCAGGCCCATCTCGGCTGTTCATTGCAGCCATCCCAGCCAAAAGCCACAGGGGACAAAGCCATTCTGGCAACTCCAGCTCGGTCACGTGCCCGGGCCATCACCACGTGGATCAGAGACCAGCTGTGCCTGCCAAGTCCAGCTATGGAGTGTTGGGGTGGTGGACGACCTGCAGTGCCAGATCTCCAGAAGGGGCTGAGTATTTGCCTCTTCTCATCTCAGCCAGCAGGGTCTTCCAGGTCACCTGCTCCACAGCCTCACCTTCCAGGATGACTGTGTGGCATGCTCACCCTGCGGTGGGCGCCCACCCGGCCCTTCACCTCCTTGCAGCTCTAGCTCCCCTGCCTTGTGATCTCCCAGGGCTCCATCTATTCACCTCCAGCCACACTGGCTTTCCTTGAGCAGGCCAAGCACGCACGCAACAGAACCTTCGTGGTTCCCTCTGCCCTTTCCCCAGGGGTCCACAGGACCACTCCCTCCCCTCCCTTCCTCTTCACTCAGAGGTCTTCTTTTTCTTGAGACCCTTTCCTCCTTACCTAGCCCGTCGAAAATGACCACTTCCTTCCTCCCCATCCCATCCCCTGCTTTTACTTTTCTCTCTCTCGTTTAGTAGTGCCTAACATAGTAGTTAATTTTTCCAACTTCTCTCGTTTATTTTCTGTCTCTCCGGCTAGCACTTAAGATGCAAGAGGGGTTCTTGTCTGTCCTGATATTCGTCCGTATCTCCAGGGTCTAGAACACTGCCTGGCCCATCACAGGCAATTTCACAAATCATCTGCGGAAAGAACGGATGGAATGTCCTCCGACCACGCTATGTTAAACAGAAATCTATTTCCCATTGCCTGCTTTATTTTTTTCTTCACGATACCACTATCTTATATGTATTTGTTACCGTCTTTCTCCCCACTACAAAGAAAGCTCCTCTAAAAACGTGGCAGTAAATATCTGCTGAATGAATTAATTTCTTGAACGAATAGATGAATGAATCCCGCGGCACCTGATGCTGGATTCCGAGAGCGCTAAACTACCTTTGTGATAGGACTAATCTGGGGGGCTCTCAGCGGGCGTGCGCCCCCTCCGAAGGGAGGAGGACTGAAAACCAAGGCTGGATTTCGGCAGCGCCCCTTTAAACTAGCCGCGGACGCGGGGCCGGTAGCTCCAGTTGCAGATCCGGCAGGGCCTGGCATCGCCGGTTTAACCCGAGTCTCGCCGGGCCGGGAGATTTCCGGGGCGGTGTCATTGCCCATTTAAGATGAGAGCGCCCCGCCCAGTGGGCGGAGCCTAGAAGGGGCTTTAAGGGGCGGGCCGGCGGGAGGCTGGGGTCCTCCGAGGATTAGCGCAGGGTGGGCACCCGCCTTAGGCCGCCATTTCTTGGCGTCTCCAGAGGAGCCGCCCCCTCGTTAGTTTCGCTCGGGACCCTTTCCCTCGCGTCGCCGGCTCTCGGCGCCGTCTTCGCTACCGCCCCTCAGTCCCCAGCCCAGGTAAGTGCGAGGCCCAGTGGCCCCGGCCGCGCTGCCCGCACCCGGCCCCGTCCACGCCCCGCTTCGCCTCCCGGCTCAAGGGACCCGTTCCAGGCCGCGCCGGGGCTGGGTGCTCGCGGCCTCGCCTCGGGACCCTCGGGCCAGCCAGCCGGCCAAACATTAAACCTGCTGGGAGGGGAGGGGCGGCGGCGGCCAATGGGGCCCGGCCGCTGAGTTTCGGGCGATACCGTGCGGCGCGGCCGGGGCGGGGAGTCCGGGGCAAGGCCGGTTAATGTGTGCCGGCTCGATCCCCTGCCCGGCCCCGGCCCCCTCTCGGGCAGCCGAGGGTCGCCCTTCACCGCGAGGTCTCGAGTCAGCTGTCTGGTTGGCGAGGGGGAGGTGGCAGGTCCAGGGGACACCCCACCTTGAGTTTGTGTCTCACGGTTTGACCACAACCACCCGGGTGGACTTCTGGGGTTGGTTTGCGTTTGAGTGAGACTTTAGCCCCTTGGCGATTGTGAGAGGCAGGTGTGTCCCCAGCAATGGCGGGATCCGGAGGACCCGACCCCGCCCCCACTCATGGTAGTGGGCGTGTTCTTGGTGGGTTCTTCGGCGTGTGAACTTCAGTGGGGGACCTGTCGCTACTTTTGTGGTTACTGAGGCTCATGAGTTTTAGCCGAGAGTAAGAAGACCCAAGTCTTTGAACCCGCGTGACCGCATTTTAAATCAATATCAGGAGTATTTTTTGAAGAGTTGGGGGAAAGTGACCCGTAACTGCGTTTCTGGCATTGCTAACAGGTTGTCGAGCCCTACTTAACATAGTGAATTATCGAACACGGAAGCTAGTTTGCAGAGTTTTCTTCTTTCTATAGGTAACCTTCCTTAGAAAATGGCAGGTATTACTTCTGTTGAAATGTTCTTTTACAAACGTTTTCAGCGTTGGAATTAGTGGAGCCGAAGGTATTAATATCTTTATGGCACTTCTATATGTTGGTATATTGCTTTGTCAAAAAGCAGTTGCTGGGGCGCCCTTGTGGCTCAGTTAAGCCAAGCGTCCGACTTCAGCTCAGGTCATGATCTCACGGTTGGTGGGTTCTTGGGTTCGATCCCCGCGTCTGGCTCTGTGCTGACAGCTCAGAGCCTGGAGTCTGTTTCAGATTCTGTGTCTCCTTCTCTCTCTGCCCCTCCCCTGCTCGTATTCTGTCTCTGTCTCAAAAATAAACAAACTTTGGGGCGCCTGGGTGGCACAGTTGGTCAAGCGTTGGACTTCGCCTCAGGTCATGATCTCACAGCCAGTGGGTTCGAGCCCCGCGTTGGCTCTGTGCTGACAGCTGAGAGCCTGGAGCCTGCTTCGGATTCTGTGTCGTCCTCTTTCTACCCCGCACCCGCTCACTCTCTCTCACTGTCTCTCTCCCTCTCAGAATAAAATAATGACCTAAATAAATAAACATTTAAAAAAGAATAAAAAAAGCAATTGCCTACAAAAAAATGTGACCATCAATCACTTAGTAGAGTATACACATTTCATGACACACTTCTGAAGTTTTAGATTTTAAAAAAACCCTTCAGTTAATTCAGTTTGCATTTTTATGATTGTAAAGGAGAAACCTTTCTTGTTCATTGCTGAAAAATTAGAAATCACAGACTAAACGCTAGCATTAAGAAAAACAAACATATAAACCTACTCTCCGAGAATTCCACTGTATCATTTTAGAGTCAGAGAAGTTCTTTATTGAGTTCCTCGTAGGCTGATTGCTGTGCTAGCTAGGTCATCTTGCTGAATGAGTCAGACCGGGTCCTTGGGTCTTAGTGGGGAAGTACCCAGTAAAAAAAATAATTAAACAATTGGGTATTTAATTACCATTTTGTAAGTGTTGAAAAGTCTAAGGGTATTAAAAGGAGCACCGAATTTAGACTCAGGAGTCATGGAATGCTTTTCTGAAGAAATGGAAGAGAAGTGAAGTGGAAAAAGAGCATTCCAGAAGGATGGATCAGCCAAAACAACAACAAAAGGCCCACAGTTAAAAAGGTTGTTGGATAGGGGAGCCTGGGTGGCTCAGTTGGTGGCTCAGACTTTGGCTCAGGGCATGATCTCGTGGTTCGCGGGTTTGAGCCCCGCATCAGGCTCTTTGCTGACAGCTCAGAGCCTGGAGCCTGCTTCAAGTTCTGTTTCTCCCTCTCTCTGCCCCTCCCTCGCTCGCGCTCTGTCTCTCTCTCTCTCTCTCAAAAATAAGTAAAGATTAAAAAAAAAAAAAAAAAGGTTGTTGGATTCAGCAGAAGGGATACCAGAGCAGATTGAGCAGCTGGGAGTAGGCTGTCTGAAGGGTCAGATGGGTAGGAGGAGGAGCTGGATCAGGGAGCAAGGCCATTAAAGATCTTTAAACTGGGATCTGATCTGTGGTTGCTAAAAATCTGCTGTTGCGTTAAGAACGGAAGTAGCAGTTGAGGGGTGGAAAAAGTGAGTATTGGAACACTTTTATTTTCTTTAGTTTTATTTTTTTTAATTTATTTCTGAGAGAGAGACAGCGTAAGCAGGGGAGGGTCAGAGAGAGGGGGACACAGAATCTGAAACAGGCTCCAGGCTCCGAGCTGTCAGCACAGAGCCCGACGTGGGGCTCAAACCCACTAACCGTGAGATCATGACCTGAGCCGAAGTCGGATGCTTAACTGACTGAGCCACCCAGGCGCCCCCCATTTAGAGATTTTTTAAAAGTTTATTTATTTTTGAGAGAGAATCTCCAGCAGACTCTGCACCATCACCACAGAGCTCAACTCAGGGCTTGAACTCACAATTTGCAAAATCATGACTTGAGCCATAACCAAGAGTTGGACACTCAACCTACTGAGCCACTCAGGTATCCCTGCACATTAACGTTTTTGCTAGTGTGGTCAGATCTTCCAAAGAGGACGGTGTGTGCAGGTGATTGTTCATCCCATATCCTTTTCGACACTGGCTGTCTTTTTGTTTACTTTTATTTTTTTGTTTTAGAGAGAGCGCGTGCCAGTGGAAAAGGCAGAGGGGAAGAGAAAGAATTTTTAAGTTTATTTATTTATTTTGAGAGAGAGAGTCCCAAGCAGCCTCTGCACTGTCAGTGCAGAGCCCAATGTGGGTCTCGAACCCATGAACTGTGAGATCATGACTTGAGCTGAAATCAAGAGTCGGAAGGCCTAACTGACTGAGCCACCTAGGTATGGTGAGAGAGAGAGAATCAAGCAGGCTTCGTGCTCAGTACAGAGCCCAACGAAGGGCTTAATCCTACGACCCTGCTGAGCCAGGACCAAGAGTTGGACGTGCAACTGACTGAGTCACCAGGTGCCCCAACCCTGGCTGTGTTGAGTCTTAAATGACAGATAGTACCCTAGTTTTTCATTTAGATTTCCTTGGCTGTTGTTGAGGTTGAACATCTTTTTTATAAATATTTTCTTTGCATTTCATCTTTTAGAACTCACTTCTTCATGTCTTGTTCGCTTTTTTCCTGTTGTGTTATCTTAATGGTTTGTGATAGCTCTTTATTACACTGCATGTTAATCCTTCAAAAAAGCTCTTAACCCTAATACATTGTTTCCTTCTAGTACTTTATCATTTCTTTGACTTTAATTTTTTTTAATGTTTGTTTATTTTTTGAGAGAGAGAGAGAGAGGGACAGCATGAGTCAGGGAGGGGTAGAGAGCGAGAGGAAGACACAGAATTCCAAGCAGGCTCCGTGCTCTGAGCTGTCTGCAGAGCCAGACTCAGGGCTCAAACTTAACAAGCCGTGAGATCATGAACTGAGCCTAAGCGGGATGCTTAACCGACTGAACCACGCAGGCGCCCCTCATTTCGTGGACTTTAAATTCTTAGTCCACCAGAATGTATTTTCATGTGTGTTACTTTTTCGTTTTTTAAAATTATTTATTTTGAAAGAGAGAGTCAGCGAGCATGAGTGGGGAGGGGACGCAGAGAGAGAGGGAGAGAGAGTCCCAGGTTGGCTTCCTGCTGTCAGTGCAGAGCCCAACTCGGGCTCGAACTCGCAAGCCACGAGATCATGGCCTGAGCCATGAGGTGCCCCTCATGTGAGTTGCTTTTATATTTTGTAAAAAGTGGTTGTGACATTGGGTTCAAAATACATAGTTATTGGGGCGCCTGGGTGGCTTAGTCGGTTAAGCGTCCGACTTTCGCTTAGGTCATGATCTCGCGGTTCGTGGGTTCGAGCCCCGCGTCGGGCTCTGTGCTGACTGCCAGCTCGGAGCCTGGAGCCTGTTTCAGTCTGTGACTCCCTCTCTCTCTGACCCTCCCCTGCTCCGCTGTCTCTCTCTCTCTCTCTCCTATAAATAAATAAAANAGAGAAAAAAAAAAACAAAATACATAGTTATTAAAACTTAAAGAAGCTTTGTTTTTTCTTAGTGGATTGACTCTACTTGTATAATGAGTTTTTATTTTTAAGAAGGAAGAGAAGGTGAAAGTCAGAAAGCTTGTCTTATAGTTCATTTGCTTCCTAGGAATCACACAGTTGTACATTTTGAACATTGTTTGCCTAAGATAAACTTTTCATTTTGGAAAAATTCAACATATACAGAAGTAGTCAGAAGAGTATAATGAACCCTTGTATACCTATCATAGCAGCTCTGACCATGACCAGTTATCTGGGCAATTTGTTTAGTTTCTATCCCCACTTAACTCCTTGCCTTGTATTATTTTGATGTAAATACTAGGCATTGCATCATTTATTTTATAAGTATTTCAGTGTGTATCTTTAAAAAAAATAAGGACTTTTTTGGGAACATACCTTTAATATCACTGTTGTATCTAAAAGGAAAAGGGCAGTAATTGGTTGGTTATCATAAACAAGCCAGTCGGTTTTCAAATGTGTGCATGTATAATTTATGTCCTTGGGAAGTTCAAATGACAACTGTAATGTCTTTGCTAGTTTGCCTAATTGCATAGGAGCATGCATACTTGTAAAATGAGGCTTGACAGCAGTTGAATTTTTAAATACGTTGGTTTTATTTCAGCATTTCAGCTTTTATTTTCATCATACTGACAGATGCATCTAGTTTAAAGCATCAACTGATTATACAGGACTTCTTTAACATTTAATTTAATTTAATTTTTAAAAATTAATTTATTGATTGATTTACATCCAAGTTAGCATCTAGTGCAATGGTGATTTCAAGAGTGAATTCCTTAATGCCCCTCACCCATTTAGCCCATCCCACAACCCCTCCAGCAACCCTCTGTTTGTGCTCCATATTTACGAGTCTCTTATGTTTTGTCTGGCTCCCTGTTTTTATATTATTTTTGCTTCCCTTCCCTTATGTTCATCTGTTTAGTATCTTAAATTCTTCATATGAGTGACGTCATATGATATCTGTCTTCCTCTGTCTAATTTCACTTAGCACAATACCCTCCAGTTCCATCCATTTAGTTGCAAATAGCAAGATTTCATTCTTTTTGATTGCCGAGTAATACTCCATTGTGTATCTATACCACAGCTTCTTTATCCATTCATCCGTCGATGGACATTTGGGCTCTTTCCATACTTTGGCTATTGTTGATAGCACTGCTATAAACATTGGGGTGCATGTGCCCCTTTGCATCAGCACTCCTGTATGCCTTGGATAAATACCTAGTAGTGCAATTGCTGGGTCATAGGTAGTTCTAGTTTTAAATTTTTGAGGAACCTGCACACTGTTTTCCAGAGCGGCTGCCCCAGTTTGCGTTCCCACCAGCAGTGCAAAAGAGATCTTTCTTTGCATCCTTACCAACAGCTGTCATTCGCCATTCTGATGGGTGTGCGGTGTTATCTCATTGTGGTTTTGATTTTTATTTCCCTGATGATGAGTGGTTTTGAGCATTTATTTTTTCATGTGTCTGTTAGTCATCTGGATGTCTTCTGTGGAGAAATGTCTGTTCATGTCTTTTGCCCATTTCTTCACTGGATAATTCATTTTTTGGGTGTTGAGTTTGATAAGTTCTTTATAGATTTTGAATACTAACCTTTTATCTGATATGTCATTTGGAGATACCTTCTCCTATTCTGTCAGTCGCCTTTTAGTTTTGCTGATTGTTTTCTTCGCTGTGCAGAAGGTTTGATGAGGTCTCAATAGTTCATTTCTGCTTTTGTTTCCCTTGCCTCTGGAGATGTGTTGAGTAAGAAGTTGCTGTGGCCAAGGTCAGAGAGGTTTCTGCCTGCTTTCTCCTCTAGGATTTTGATGGCTTCCTGTCTTACATTTAGGTCTTTCATCCATCTTGAGTTTATTTTTGTGTATGGTCTAAGAAGGTGATCCAGGTGTATTTTTCAGCATGTCACCATCCAGTTTTCCCAGCACCATTTACTTTATTCCACTGGATATTCTTTCCTACTTTGTCAAAGATAAGTTGGCCATACGTTTATGGGTCCATTCCTGAGTTCTCTATTCTGTTCCATTTATTTGAGTGTCTGTTTTTGGTGCCATAAACAGGACGTTTTTAATGATAACATCAGACAACTTAAAAAAAAAAAGCTTATTTGAATTAGGATCTGAAGTAGGTCTATGCATTGTGATTAATGGATATGTATTTTATTTACTTATTATTTTTTAATTAAAAATTTTTAATGTTTCTTTATTTTTGAGAGAGAGAAAAATCAGAGTTTGAGCCCTTGTCTTCATTATTTACTAGTAATGAATAATAATGAACGAAGGGGCCAATGGTCTGATTGATCGGACCCTTAGTTTACTCATCAAAATAAGACAGTAGGTATTTTGGGGAGTTTTTCTAAGGAGCAAATAAGATTCTTTACTAACCATTTGTTGTACTTGATGATGAAGTCTGTTCAAAATAGAAATTGTGTCTTCAAGGAGCCAGTGATAAAGGAGACAGACATGTAAATGATTAAAATCTGATTAAGGAAACAGTAAGCCATCTTCAAGTTTCAGAGGAAGAGTGATGATGGGAACAACTCTGGCTGTCAGAGACCGTTTCTCAGGGGAGATATAGGTGGGATTGAATTAAAAAATAGATCAGGATTTCCTGATGCATGAGCTTTTGACATCTGGGATAATAGCAACTTTCTTAGGCCGCCGAAATGGAATGGATAGCAAGGCACACAGGGAGCAATGTTGGAGACAAAGAGACTGGGGCCAGATGTTCTATTTGAGTGCTTTTGTAAACAGAAAAGCTATCTAAAATTTCATTTTCTTGGGAGTTAAGCAGATGAGCATATAAATGACGGCTCTTAGGGCTTTGTCGAGTTACTTGATTATGTAGGAATACCCATACTTCTCCATATGTGATATGTGTATGATAATCTTCAATTTATAGGCACCTATTTTTAATGTGCTGGTATTTATTTTTAAATTACCTTTTAATCAAGTTTATAAATGTATCTAGTTGAAAGTCTTCTAATCCTGAAGGTTTCTTTTGGAAAATAGCACCCTCCTGAGCTCTGTTCCCTTCAAGACAGCCACTTTGATTTCAACAGACTTTTACTGTCACTTCTTGATTCTAGGTTTCAGGAATTACCAATTGAATTCCAACTCAGCAAGATGAGGACTTGGCTCTCTGTCCACATCTACCTTTATTATACACCTCCTCTTATAGTTACTTTATAGTTGTATTTAGATTAATATTAAGTGTTTATAGTATTATGAATATTTAAAGTATTAGCTAAGTCATGTAGTATACTGTGATCACTTTCCTTTTTCTGCTCAGCCTCTTGTTTTCTCTGGAATTAATAATTGCCTTATTGTTTTCACTCTCTTGTTTGCATAAATTAAACATTAAGTTTGCAAAGTAGTTTTTATGGTATTACAACCATTTTGTGTTTGCTATATTTTTAAAATGACTAAACCTGTTTTAATTATTTTGATTAACCTTAATGTCCTTAATAAAGACAAGAAAGGAAATGGCATCAACATAATTTAACGTTATAAAGAATTGATTCTACTAGATAGCCATTTAAAATATGTAAGTAATGGGATATTTGATAAAAACGTAAGATTTGGATTATATTTGTATTTTAGCTGAAATAGGTAATTTTTTAAAAAATATGTTATCTTTAAATAATCTCCCCACACAATGTGGGGCTCAAATTTATAATCCCAAAATAAAGAGTCACGTGTTCCAGCCACTGAGTCAGCCAGGCACACCTGTTTTTGTATTTTTATTGTGATCGCTCGGAAAAGAAATGATACTTCTTAGGATCGTTATGCTCATCAAAGGAGACTTTAGCACATGGTTGTTTCTTAGCGTTTGTAGAGGTATCAGATGTTGTACACGAAATTCATTGACCCAGAAGACCTGATAAGCTTAATTAAGGTTTGTTGTCTTCTATTGGCTCTGTATAAAATAGACCAGTAAGTTTAGAAATGCTGTAAATCATAGCTCCATTTTATTTTATTTTATTTATTTATTTTTAGACATATAAAGCATTTTATTTTTTTCATAGCTCTATTTTAAATAAACGTCTTCAAAAACTTTGATTTAGTGCCTGTTTTAATTATTTTTTTCAAATGTACTTCACCAGAAGCCTTTAAAAAAAATTTTTTTTAATGTTTGTTTATTTTTGAGACAGAGCATCAGTGGGGAGGGACAGAGAGAGGGAGACACACAATCCGAAGCAGGCTCCAGGCTCTGAGCTGTCAGCACAGGGCCCGACGCGAGGCTCGAACTCACAAACCATGAGATCATGACCTGAGCCAAGGTTGGACACTTAACCAACCGAGCCTCCCAGGCGCCCCCTCCTTTTTTTTTTTTTTTTAATATTTTTATTTATTTCTATCAAGGAAGAGAAAGGGAGACACACAATCCGAAGCAGGCTCCAGGCTCTGAGCTGTCAGCACAGGGCCCGACGCGAGGCTCGAACTCACAAACCATGAGATCATGACCTGAGCCAAGGTTGGACACTTAACCAACCGAGCCTCCCAGGCGCCCCCTCCTTTTTTTTTTTTTTTTAATATTTTTATTTATTTCTAGGAGAGAGAGAGAGACAGACAGCGTGAGCAGGGGAGGGTCAGAGAGAGAGGGTGTCACAGACTGAAACAGGCTCCAGGTTCTGAGCTGGCAGTCAGCACAGAGCCCGACGCGGGGCTCGAACCCACAAACCGCGAGATCATGACCTAAGCGAAAGTCGGACGCTTAACCGACTAAGCCACCCAGGCGCCCCCCCTCCTTTTTTAATAGTATATCCATAATACCCATAGGATTTTCGTGCTCGTCTGACTACCGCTGTGGGGAGTCTTCTGACACGTTTCGCTGTCTGGTTTTTGTAGCGACAGAGATGCTGAGCTTCTTCCGCCGAACGCTGGGGCGCCGGTCCATGCGCAAACATGCAGAGCGGGAGCGACTCCGAGAGGCCCAGCGCGCAGCCACGCACATCCCTGCTGCTGGGGACTCGAAGTCCGTCATCACGTGCCGGGTGGCTCTTCTGGACGGTACCGACGTTAGCGTGGACTTGCCGGTACGTGGGCCCCGCTGACCTTGCAAGTTCTATGTGAGGCCACTTTTGGCACTTGAGCTTTCCGCTGTTAGCTTCCTGGGGCGATCGCGTAGGCGGAGTAGGGTGGTGCATCCGGCGCTGTGCATTGGGCGCTGTGGTGGGGAAGCACGTGGGTCGGGTCACCTCAGAGCCCAGGATGGAAGTATTTCTCGGGGGTTCGTGGAACTTCCCGGAACTGTGTAAATGACAGGGAGTTACTGACTGGCACGGGCCGGCTGTGTGTTTACGTGTGCTCTTTAGGGCGGCCGAAAGCGCCTCTGCTGGAGGATTTCTCCCCCGCCGTTGAGCAGTCATCAAAGCAGGGGGAGTCTCGGCCCCGGGAGGGAACCCAGTGTACACTGCGGAGCTTTCAGTTCTCTGTACTTCTCGCGGATTTTCCAAACGCTCCTCACTCTTTTCCAAATAAAGACTTCTTCAGCAGCGTAGTGTGCTTGCAGAAATGTTAACGAAATGGGCTAAAAGGACCTCATACTCCTCAGCTCTGTCTATCCCCTTGCTCCCAAAGGAGTTTGCAGCCGAGCTTTTGTATTTCAAGACAGGATGTTGTAATTCTGTTCAGATTTTAGGTGGTTTCTTTTTCCAGTTGTGAGTATATAGTTACAATGCACTGTGAAACAATCTGATCTATTTGAAAGGGATCGGCTTATTCCTTATACGCCCTTTAGAGGGGCAGAGCAGGTAGCGCTAAAGTTTAGGGGGAGCGGAGTTTCTAAGTGATTTACTAATCCCAAATGTCTTTGTTCTGCATTAAAAGATTTCTGTGACTAAGCTGGAAAATGTGTGCTTTGATGTGGCACCCCACTACATTCCCTCCCTGCACATTGTTTTTAGTACACACCTGTACACCCAGAATGCAGTAAGAAACGTCTTCGTGCAAGGGGGTTGCCTAAATGCCGCTACACTACACAGTTGAGTGACCTCTGGAAGACCTTTAACTTAGCCTTTAACTCACAGTGAGAGAATAAGGATATTATTATTGGGTATCCAATAATAAATTGGATAGTTTGAATAAAGTACTCTGACGGATTGAATAATTTAGAATGTACGAGGTATGTACCTTACACATTTTAAAAATAATAGAACATGGATAAAATTAAACATAGGGTTTCTTAAAGTGTTTTGAAGTTGTCATCACGGGTACGTATTTATGATCTTTTGTATATTGGACTGGATATCTTTAGGGTTTTTGATTCTGGAACACTTGAAGGCATTTAAATTTCTTCCTGTAAGGCTTCTTGAGGGTTTATCATGCATTCCAGCATGTGATCCTTTGTGAGGAGTTTTCATATTCATTTCTTTCTTGATAAGTATCTTAAGAATTTTGTGTACTATTCCATTAAAGTATCATTAGATACATGATAAAAAGCTTGAGATTGCTGTGTAAGAGACCAGAAAGAAGTTTCTTATTACCTAATGTTTGAAGTATGAAGTCTCAAGGTTGTTGATGGAGGGGCTGATACTAGGAAAATAGACTTTGTAAAAGAGCTTTTTAAAGAGGCAGGGTAGGGGCACCTGGGTGACTCAGTCGGTTAAAGGTCCGACCTTGGCTCAGATCATGATCTTGGCTCAGGTCATGATCTTGCGGTCCGTGGGTTTGAGCTCCATGATGGGCTCTGTGCTGACAGCTCAGAGCCCGGAGCCTGCCTTGGGGTCTGTGTCTCCCTCCCTCTCTGGCCCTCCCCACCCCGCAAAAATAAACATTAAAAAAAAATTTAAAGAGGCAGGGTAGAGTGGAGGAGAAACAGCACTAGGTTTTGTTTTGTTTTTTTAATTTTTAAAATATTTATTTTTGAGGGGCGCCTGGGTGGCTTAGTCGGTTAAGCATCTGACTGTCGCTTAGGTCATGATCTCACGGTTCGTGGGTTCGAGCCCCGCGTCGGGCTCTGTGCTGACTGCCAGCTCAGAGCCTGGAGCCTGTTTCAGTCTGTGACTCCCTCTCTCTCTGACCCTCCCCTGCTCACGCTGTGTCTCTCTCTCCTACAAATAAATATAAATAAACATAATAAAACATTAAAAAAAAAATAAAATAAAATATTTATTTTTGAGAGAGATAAAGCATGAACGGGGGAGGGGCAGAGAGAAAGGGAGACACCGAATTCAAAGCAGGTTCCAGGCTCCCAGCTGTCAGCATAGAGCCCAACACGGGGCCCAAACTCATGAATCGTGAGATCATGACCTGAGCCAAAGTTGGATGCTTACCCGACTGAGCCACACAGGCACCCCAAAATAACTCTTTAAAAATTTTTTAAATGTTTATTTATTTTTGAGAGAGAGAACATGAGCGAGCAAATGGGGGAGGGGCAGCAAGAGAGGAAGGCACAGAATCCAAAGCAGGCTCCAGGCTCTGAGCTGTCAGCCCAGAGCCCATTGTGGGGCTTGAACTCATGAACTGCAAGATCATGAATGACCTGAGCCTAAGTTGGATGCTTAACTGCCTGAGCCACCCAGGTGCCCCCAGCACTCGGTTTTAAAGTAGTGGAAGAAATGGCTAGTGACTGGTATAGAATGGTCTCCTATGCTTGGTATGCGCAGTAGAGTGGATGTGATGCTTGATCAAGGCCACAAATGCAAACTGACCTCTCACGTAGACAATGGCAATGAAAAAGCCAAGAGTTTTAGGTTTGACTCTTTGTGAAACTAGAACAATTGCCCTTTCAGCTCTGCAGATGAGATCCTAGGGTGAGTAAACGAATTCTAGTAACGAACTATAGAAATGATCCCTGAAAGTATAGTCTTGAGTAAACGAATTCTAGATGCTTGCATGGATATAAAATGGGCGTTTGCCTGCCAGCTATACTGTCTTACTAAAAAAAAAAAAAATAAACCAGGGCTGTATTAATTTCTAAAAAGAAACCATTTCTTTTCTTTCTTTTTTTTTTTTTTTTTTTGATTTAGCTTCTCAGCCAGACTAGTAGTATTCCAAAAGCAGATTTAGAATTGATTTTAGAAATTGGATGAAGCACATACTTGTTTCCCACTAGGATTTAGGTCCCTGTGATCCCATAGCAAACGAGTGTGGAACGAAGATGACTGCCCGGGCAGTGTGTAAGTGAGTAATCAGCAGTGATTAAATAGAGAGCTTTAAATCTGTGGACTTCAAATTCATATATATTGGTAGTAATGGTCATTTTCTTCCTTCTGCTGACTTTTCCTCTCAAAACTGAGGGAGGGATTTAATTACCTTCTTTACCTCCCCCCCCCCTTTTTTTTAAAGAAAAAACTACAGAAATGCCTAATGCCTTTCGGTGAGTGATAAAAGCATCAGGTAGAAATTTCTGACTATCTGATTTTTTAATTTTCTCTTTGGAGATACCACAGAAACTTTGTTGGTTTATGAGCTTAGGACTGTTTAGTAATAGCCTGTCTGGTATCATTCTGCATCTTTCAAATTTTAAATTAAATAGGAAATGTTTGATTAACCAGTTGATAATTTAATAAACCTAATTTGCTGATGTAGATGCTGAAGGCTTTAAATCCTAGAGCCCACATGTGGTTATACTTTTAGATAAAGAACCTTTATAACTATCCTGTGTTTACAAAAACTCTTCATTGTTAAGATGGTAGTACACCCCAAATTGATCTACAGATTGGACATAATCCCCACCAGAATACCGCTCGATTTCATTTGTAGAAATTGACCAGCAGATTTAAAAATTTATGTGGAATTGCAGGGGACTCAGAATAGCCAGAACAATACTGAAAAAGAGCAAAGTAAGTAGCAGAATTCACTCTAACTAGTTTTTTGTTTTGCTTTGCTTTGCTTTGCTTTGCTTTGCTTTGCTTTGCTTTGCTTTGCTTTGCTTTGTTTTTGAGAGAGAACATGCTCATATGCACCCCAGAGGGGAGAGGGGCAGAGGGGAAGAGAATCTCAAGCCGGCTCCATGTTGAGC